GCCCTCTGGTTAGCAATCAAATGCCTTAGGCACTATGCCACCAGAGCTCCTGTGTATGAACTGCTGTGTGGAAAATGAATTTGCTCTCAAACTTCTCAAATTTCACCAAAATCACAATAAAAATTAAAAAAAAAAAAAAGAGGTTCTAGGAGAGGCTAACACGTAGCGGTCTAGGTATGCAATCTCTGAGAGCTTGGTTTGACCCAGATTTTTTAGAGAAACTGATGCCCTGAATATCCTTTAGGCAATCTTCTATGGACATCATCTGCTACTAGAGTTTTGATAAGAACTGAATGGCAGCAAATTCAAGTTTACACTTTCTGACAAGAGCTGGATGAACAGCTACGCCATGCTACTCATTAAAATCTAATCAGAGGTTGGCCTCTGATTTTCAAAACTAAAGAGACAACTGAGACATGCACTTTGACAGGTAATGATTGTACTTCGGAAGGTGTACTACTGCCACCAACATGCATTAAGTGCAACCTCCAGTGTGCCAGGCAAGGAGTGATGAACCCTGGGGAGAGGGCAGGGCAGGGAGTATGGATAAAAGGACAAGTGGGTCTTATTTGGGCTTCTCTTATCTAGATGGTAAGAGAAAAACTCTAGTGCCTTCTCTCTCACTTCTGTCCTCCCCACTCCTGCCCTTTTGGGCAGCCACATCAACTGCAGCAGGGGTCAGAAGTTTGACTTCCTGAGCCCCTGGTTTCCTCCTCACCACCCAAGACTTCCAGAGCCTTGAGTTTTGGCCTCTGCTGCTCCTGTTCCCAGTCCTGTCCCTCCGATGCTCCCACAGGCCCTGGCCATGTTGCTGCTTCCATGGCAAGACTAGAGGCATTCTAACTATTGCTGTAGTAGCAGCAGGACTGGGACTTGAGTTGGCCTGCAGGTAACTAACACTAACACTGGCAGAAGCCCTGAAATCTAGTCTTGAAAAAATCACAGAAAACCCAAAATAAGTGGATGTATCTCTCTTTCACATGAGCTGGAGAGGGGCATGACTATGTTCCTTGGCACTCAAGATAGAAGGAAACAGACAGCAGGATGGAGTGGGCCACCCCTAAGCAACACTATGGAATGGGTGAAGAGGGCATTACAGAACCTCGCCTCTTCTCCCAGGACAACCTGATCCACTTCCTATTTTCTATCCCAAGGCTGCCTCTTGGATACAGGGCCCACAAACATTTGACTTTCCAGGGACCAGAGCAGGGATGTTGACAGCAGGATTGGGTAACAAGGCTGAAAAAAAAGGAGAAACTGGGCCAGTATAGGGGACGAGATGCTCCAAGAAACCAGACTCTCAAGATTTTTTGCTTTTTGGGGCCACTCCCTTTTCTATGGAAACAAAGGAAGACTGGTAGTTAGAAAATGGCCTCGGTGGTAGAAACACCACAGGAGACTGCATGATAGAATTTTGCAAGACCATAACTTATTCACTGGAAAGACTTTTTTCAACAACAGAAATGGTGACTACACAGGTCGACCTCTCTGGATGGAATACACAGAAATCAGATCGACTACATTTATGTAAAGAAATGATTAAAAAAAAAAAAAAACTCACTGCCATGGAGTCAGATCTGACTCACAGTGAGCCCTCCTTGGGTTTCTGGGGCAGTATCACTATGGAAGTAGATTGCCCAACCTTCCTTCCGAGGGGTGGCTGGTGGATTTGAACTGCTAGCCCTCTGGTTAGCAATCAAATGCCTTAGGCACTACGCCACCAGAGCTTCTAAAGAGGTGATAGAGAAGTTCAATATCATCAGTCAGAACAAGGCTGGGGCTGACTGCAGAACAGACCATCAATTGCTTATAGGTAAGTTCAAGTTGAAGCTGAAGAAAATTAAAACAAGTCCACAAGAGTCAAAGTATGACCTTGAGTATACCCCACTTGAATTCAGAGACCATCTCAAGAAAAGATTTGATGCATTGAACACCAATGACCAAAGATCAGATGAGTTGTGGGAGGTCACTGTACATAAAGAAAGCAAAAGGTCATTAGAAAGACAGCAAAGAATTAAAAAAAAGGATGTCAGAAGAGACTCTCAAACATGCTCTTGAACAAAGAGTAGCTATAATTAATGGAAGAAATGATAAAATAAAAGAGTTGAACAGATTTCAAAGGGTGACTTAAGAACACAAAGTAAAGTATCATGATGAAATATACAAAGACCTGGAGCTAGAAAACCAAAAAGAAAGGCCATACTCAGATTTCTCAAGCTGAAAGAACTGAAGGAAAAATTCAAGCCCAGAGTTGATACTGAAGAATTCTATGAGCAACATACTGAAAGGGGCAGGAAGCATCAAAAGAAGATGGAAGGAATACATAGAGTCACTGTACCAAAAATAACTGGTTGATGTTCAAGGTAAAATGTCATCAAGAACCAATGATACTGAAAGAAAAAGCCTAAACTGCACTGAAGGGGCTGGCAAAAAACAAGGCTCCAGGAATTGATGGGATATCCTTTGAATTGTTTTAGTAAATAGATGCAGCACTGGAGGCACTCACTTGTCTATGCCAAGAAGTTTGGAAGACAGCTACCTGGTCAACCAACTGCAAGAGATCCATATTTGTGCCCATTCCAAAAAAGGTGATCCCAATGGAATGTGGAAATTACTCAACAATATCATTAATATCATATGCAAGTAAAACTTTGCTGAAGATAATTCAAAAATGGTTGCAGTGGTGCAATGACAGGGAATTGCCAGAAATTCAACCCATATTCAGAAGAAGTCATGGAATGACACTATCACTGCTGATGTCAGATGGATGCTGACTGAAAGCAGAGAATACCAGAAAGATGTTTACCTGTGTTTTACCAACTACGCAAAGGCATTCGACAGTGTGAAACAAAAATTATGGGTAACACTGCAAAAAATAGGAATTCTAGAACACTTGATTGTGCTCATGTGGAACTTGTACATAGACCAAGAGGCAGTTGTTTGAATAGAGCAAAGGGACACTACATGGTTTAAAATAAGGAAAAGTGTGCATCAGGGTTGTATCCCTTCACCATACTTATTCAATCTTTATGCTGAGAAAATAATCTGAAAGGGAGACTATACGAAGAAGAACCAGGCATCAAGACTGAGGGAAGATAACGTGCAATATGTAGATGACACAACCTTGCTTGCTGAAAGTAAAGATGACTTGAAGCACTTACTGATGAAGACCGAAAACTACAGCCTCCACTATGGATTACAACTCAACATAAAGAAAACAAAAATCCTCACAACTGGACCAACAAGCAACATCATAATAAAGAAAGAAAAGACTGAAGTTGTTAGGGATTTTATTTTACTTGGATTCACAATCAATGCCCAAGGAAGCAGTGGTCAAGAAATCAAAGAACATATCACATAAGGCAAATCTGTGGCAAAAGACCTCTTTGAAGTAAAAAACAAACACGTCACTTTGAGGACTAAGCTGTGCCTGACCCAAGCTTTGGTATTTTCAATCACCTGATATGCATGCTCTGGTAGCACAGTGCCTAAGGCATTTGCCTGCTAACCAGAAGGTTGGCAGTTCAAACCCACCAGCGGCTCCTTGGAAGGAAGATTGGGCAATCTACTTTTGCAGTGGTAACTGCCTTGGAAACCCAAGGAAGGGTCACTATGAGTCGGATCTGACTTGACGGCAGTGAGTTTTGGTTTTTGGTTTGGATATACCTGCAGAAGTTGGACAATGAGTAACGAAGACGAAAGAATTCATGCCTTTGAATTATGGTGTTCATGAAGAACACTAAATATATCACGGACTGCCAGAAGAACGAACAAATCCATCTTGGATGAAGTATAGACAGAATGCACCTTAGAAGCGAGGAAGGCGAGACTTTGAATGTGTTATCAGGAGAGTCTAGTCCCTAGAGAAGGACATCATGCTTGGTGAAGTAGAGAGTCAGAGAAAAAGACGAGATGGTCTGACACAGTGGCTGCAAAAATGGGCTCAAACAGCAATGACTGTGAGGATGGCACAGGACTTGGCTGTGTTTTGTTCTGTTGCACACAGGGTCACTCTGAGTCAGAACCAACTCGATGGCATCTAAAGCAACAATCCCTTCCCAAAACATCCTCGATAACCACAATAAGATGACTTTGACGGGCCTTTGAATAACTTTGTACTTTGGCCAGGCTTCTTGGTGTCTCCACTGAAGCAGGTTGGTGACATTAACTCCAGTATTCAAGTGGGAGCACCAAGATCAAGATAATGTCACTTTCCCAGAATTATATCATAATTATCATGATGAAATCATGCTAGCATCCTGAGTTCTAGCCGGGGACAACAGGATAAACTCCCTTACAGTCTAAGGCAAGAGCCCAACATCTCCACCCAACTGCTGGCAGACAGAAGTTCTTATTTCTAGACAAAATGCTTGTTTTCATAGACTTTTAAATTCCTTTAACACAATTCAGTAAATTTGGAGCCAAACAATAGTATCAGGGGGCTGAAGCCACAACTTAGAGTTGGTAGTGGTCACAGTTCAGGAAAAATACATGTTTTACAAAGGAAAACTCATCCTTTTAATTCTTTCAAAACAATCCAGATTCAAATACCTTCCTTAAGAATGAGATTCAACTAAAGAGCATTTCAGAGAAAAGTAAGTAGACAAACACAGAAGAAAGTCACCTAGTCTGCTGGCCTCCAGAGAGTGCCTGAGAACTCTAGGTCCTGTGGACCTTTCTCTCCTCTGTCCATACTTGGCTGAGTACCAAAGTAGGAAGTGTTGGGGCAGAAGGGACCTTCCCACCAGACTGTGCTGCCTGCCTTAGGCATGTGCCTATCAACACTCTGTCCCAAATTCTCCCATGCTCCCCAACCTCTTGCTTTTCCAGTTCTCTATCTAAAGTATCTTCATTTGTTTGTTCTGAGGAAAGCCAACCCAGAGGTGAGGAGCAAAGGGGAACCCTCCAATTAATTTGCTCTGTGTTCTTGGGCTCAATTTCCTTACCTACAAAATGAAGAAGGATTATTTGCTTACATACTATGCGTTTATAGCTTGCCTACTTCCTAAAATAATTTGAGGTAGGTAGATGAGACTAACAACTTTCAAGTTCCTTCACATATTAGCATTCCACTTCCTTTAATGCAGAAATGTAGCTTGTCCCAGGTGTTAAGGTCAGGAAATAGATACGCAGGGTAACCAGACCTTCTGCAAATACACCTTCATAAAAAGGTGGTCAACTGTGCATCTCCTGGCTAGGAGCAGACCTTCAGTTTATATGGGTATCCCTTCAATTCACCCTCTAGGTCGATACTCAGGGAGGCCTTGATTATGGCATCAGCCCAGGTTCCAAATGAGGAAAATTCTAGACCTAAGTTCTCTTAAAATTTCCTACCTTACTCCCCACAACAGGTTCCGGGTGAAGAAAGAAACATTTTTTCAAGGAGGCATCTTTTGGAAATGGCAGGTAGGTGAAAACAGGAAAAAGCTCATGTAAAATTTGTGATCTATTCAGAGGTCTTCGCCTGTAAAAGTTTGAAACAGAAAAAAGTAATTAAGCTGCGCAAGCCAGCTTAGTCCATGACTTACAGACAGCTAAACAAAGTTTGAAAAATGGTGGGTGGTGGGTAAAGAAGGAAAACCATGCAACTTCTTAAGTACTAGGTCCATGAAGAATAGTCCTGCCAAATCACTTACTAACTCTAACATGTACATGCACACATATAAACTCTACAGCTACAATTTGTACACATGGGTGAGATGTTTAGAAAGCCCAGCTAAAACAACATGTACAGGAAGGAAACAATCTATTCACTCTATCTAGAGGCAGAAGTAATAGCAGGCCAGGAGGGGAAAAGGAAGAAGAGAAAGGAGAGATAAAAGATTTGAACCTTCTTCTGAAGCAGAGTGGTATACAGGTAATGTGGGGCCTGATTAGCTTGCTAAACTGGATATTCTATCATGTAAATAAAATGGCAAATTTAAAAACAGGTGGAAACATCAAAACATTATCAATAAGTTCCAAGAAAAGCCTTAAAAAGCCATTTTAATTCTCTAGATGGAAGCTCTGATAGTGTAGTGCCTAAGGCACTTGACTGCTAATCAGAAGGCTGGTGGTTCAAACCCACCAGCCACTCCTCGGAAGGAAGATGGGACAATCTACTTCCATAGTGATACTGCCTCGGAAACCCAAGGAGAGGTCGCTATGAGTCAGGTCTGACTCGATGGCACATAACAACAACAACAGATGGAAACCAGCTTTCCTCTTCTAGAGAGCAATCTTGACCCCAAGGTATAGACCATACCTTCTTAAAGAACACAAGAAATAATATGGAGATAGATCTAGGTTTCAATCCTGGCTGGGTAACCTTGGGCGAGTTACTTAACTTCTGATTGGTACTTTTCTGATCTGAACAATGACAATGATCATTCTACTTCTCAGAGCTATTATGAGCATCACCAATGGGCAATAGACATTAAGCACCAAGGGGCACTGCCTGGTGCAAACAAGTGCCAGAAATATAGTTTCCCTTCTATTTATCTTGTTCTCTCTTTACTCATCAATGCTCAGGACCACTGTGTATAAACATAAAATGCTAAACACATACTTAGAAATAAATTATGGACCTCTTAGGCAATCGTGGTGTCTGCCTTGGAGACTTGGCCCACCTTCCTCTTGACACACCTTTTCCATTCATCTCCTCTGTGCTCATGATTTGTTTTCAACAGTGAGCTCCTGAGGATCATTTGACTTGAAGTGTACATTGTAAAATGCTTACATAGTGTCCAGCACGTGGTCCACCTTCTTTTACACTTAGACTAAGAGCCTCTTTCAATGCTCACCATGGATAAGGAAATGGGAACCACCGGTCAGGAAAGCAGCGCCACCACTTGGCAAATAACCCTTCGGTGAAGCCTTCTGCCACCTCAGGGTATCGACACAAAAAATGCTGAAGTTCCTCAGACAACAATGGCTGTTCCGTCTTGGGAGGGCAGAAAACAAAGTAGAACAAAGCAACACCAAGTTATTTATCAGAAATATCACAGAGCTTGATGTTTCCTAGTCTTTAAACAGGTAAATTAAACAGTGGGATAATCAAGAGTGCTTACTTTGATCACCAGAGGATGGAGTTGCTCAAATTTCTCAGGGGTATCTTCCAGGAGCATTACCTTGAGGGGTAATTTCTGGGCACAACCAGTGCAATTGGCAGGGATGGGGTCCGACTCATTCTTCTCACAGTAATTTGTTGACCAGGGGTCAAAGTCTGGGAGAAAAAGGGATATGGAGAATACAGATTCAGGAAAAATACAGTAGCTCCCACAGTGAAAGCAGAAAAGAAAGATATTGTTAATTTTAAAAAACTAAGAAGGATAAGCACTGTTGGCCTCAGAAAAGGCACATATGAAATAGGTAGCCTTTGAGGAGGGGAGCAGAGAACAGAAGTACTTTTCTCTGTATACTCTTCTACACTTTATGGAAAAATTATTTTTAACATGTACATATATCTCCCATCTCAGAGATAAATAAAATATAACAGAAAATAAGCACTTAAGAACATGGGGCTAGAGATGCAGCCCTTCTATTTTCTAACCTATGACCCACACATGTGAAACGCCTATAGCACACAGGGGTGGGGCAGCTAGAAAGGGTGGTCCCACAGTCACTGTGAACCTCATAGTGTGTCTTTTTGCACACTCTGGGTGTGTGCCTAGACCCTTGGCTCACAATTACAAGTACAAAGATGGAGGTCAGGGCAGCTCTGGGAAGGAAAAGTGAGACGAGAGTGGGGAGAGAGGGAGGGAGAGGGGGAGAGAGAAGATGTAGAGGGATAGAGAGAGGGGAGAGAGAGGAGGGAAGGGGAAAGAGAGAGAGAGAGAGAAGGAGAGAGAAAGGGGGAGAGAAGGAGGGAGAGGGGGAAAGGGGGAGAGAGAGAAGAGGAGAGAGAAGAAGTGGAGAGGGGAGAGAGGGGGAGAGAGAGGTGGGGGGGAGGATGGCAGAGGGGAGGGGGAGATGGGGGAAGGAAGGAGAGAGGGGGAGGGGGAGAGAGAGGTGGTGGGGAAAGAGTGCAGAGCACGAGCGCAAGAGAAGAAACATCAGACTTCTCAGGTGTCCATCTCTGGGTAAAGTGAATTGCATCACCCTAGCTCTGAAGCAGGTGGGAGCTACTAACCATTGTTTCTACCACCACGGAAGATTAGTATGAAATGGAGGAACATCCCACCTAAAACCTGATGGAGGGCCAGCATCTCCTTGACACTCTCCCCTGGGCTGGCTCCTTCTCCGAGGGGTTCCTCTGTTTCTACACAGCCCTTCCCAGTTTCCCTATGTTCCTTCCCTCTGACATTATCCAGCTTATAATCTTGTTGCACTATTTCTTGTTTACTTTCTGTTCCATTCTGGATTTCATCTGTGTTCTCTGAGATGTGTTTGTGTTAAACTAGAATTTGAATCCAAAGTGTTTCACAAGATGGTCCCTGATTAAAACCCAGTGGAAACCAAATCAAGAGAGAGCCTACAACAGAAGATAACAGACAACCAAATGTGGCTCCAATGAAGTCAATTCTTTGAACCGCTAAACACAGTTGGAAGCTGACTCTCGGGTACAAACCATTTTCTGTAGTTGCTGGCAGCAACAAACACAAGCATAGTTTAAAGCAACTACTTTATTCTTGTTTTTTGTTTTTTTGTTTTTAAGGGAACACTAGTGGGGCTTGGGAGCTCTGGTAGCATAGTGGCTAAGGCACTTGACTGCTAACCAGAAGGCAGGCGGTTCAAACCCACCAGCCACTCCTCGGAAGGAAGGTTGGGCAATCCTACTTCCGTAGTGATACTGCCTCGGAAACCCAAGGAGGGGTCGCTATGAGTCGGGGCCGACTCGATGGCAAACAACAACAACAACAAGTGGGGCTTAAGAAATCCTCATTAGGGAAGGACTATGTTTGTTCTCAGCAGACAGTCTCCTGAACACCCTCCAAGTATCTTCCATCTCTTGCAGATGGTACTTGCATTCCCTGGAATCAGCTGCCTTGTTCCCTTCTCAGCCCATCTCAGCCTGTGGGCAGATTATCAATCACAGGCCTACTGCTGCAATCCTCTCCTAGACAGGGGCTTCTCCCACAGAGCTCACCATGAGCCTCCAGGGTTGGCCACAAACCCTTTAGTAAGATCTGTTTCAGTGGCACTTGGAGGCTGCAAAGTTAAGTACTTTTCTTCTTCTGGGGTATTTTCAAATGTTCCTTATTAGGGGTCAAATATGATGAATTATTGTCAAGGACAAGAACTCTGGCTAATGGATATACAATGAGACATAAACAATCATAACAACATGTAACAATTATGTAGTACTTCCGTTTCCAAAGCACTTGTGAGGGAAAAAGAGAAACTAATTCATGAAGTGCCAGACCATCATTGAATTTCCACCATAAAATTGTTGAGTAGGCATCACCATTCTATTTTACAGATGAGGCAGCTAGAGTTAGGTGGGAGAGGAAGTTAATGAGGCACCAGGGTCTGGTGGAAAGAGCACAGAGGAATAAGTGGGAGGGGGGATAGTGGCTGAAGAAGACCAAGAAGGGCCCCTAGGGCTTGGAGCAGGCCTGACTCTACAAAATGTGGAACCAATAGAGGTCTGTGAGTAGGGGTTTTCTGATGCTCTAAGAAGATGATTCTTGACTGTGACAAGGCAGTCCTAGAAGAAAGGGGCTGGGAAGAGGAAGACCAGTTTTACTTCTGAAATGTCATAACCTTGAAAATGCTATGGAACAGTTCTGCTCTGTACACTGAGTCACCGTGAGTCAGAACTGACTCAACAGCAACTAACAAAACCAAAGACCAATGTGCCCCCTATATCATTTAAGGAGCCCAAACTTCAAGAGGAAGAGTTACTGATTTCTCTGTAGCCTTGAGATCACCGAGGATAAAGAATGTGCTAATGTTTGGTGAGAAATGGCCTAGCAGTGAAGAGTCTGGAGGTGGCAGGAGAGGTAAGGTAGGAGCTTCTTCCCTTCCCACAGCATCCTCCACAACAGAGAAGCAAGGTGTGGCCAGACTACAGCATGGCCTGGGTCCCTAAGAGGTTACATATGAGATGTTCTCTATACAATGGGTTTGGAGTCATAATGCCCCAGAGTGAACAAAATTCCACCCTAGAAACAGCCAACAACATGCAGCCAGACTTTCCTATGCCATAGTTCACAACTTTTTTTCAGCTACCTGCAGCCAGGCAGAAAGGCTGGTGGAAGCTGGATAGTAACTTTCTCTTTCTTGTAAGGACCAAGGCTCCTTGACTCGCAGACCCGTTGTCGTCGCATTGATTCTGACTCATATACATCATTCTCCTACCGAGCAGCTGGTGGGTTTGAACCACCACCCTTTCAGTTAGCAACTGAGCTCTTAATCACTGTGCCACCAAGGTTCCTTGGTTCTTACACCTACTTAATGAAAGAAAGGCTGAGACACAGAAGGAGGAACTACATATGTAAGAGTTAAATAAAACTCATGATCTGTATTCCAAATTCTCATCAGGTTTGAAATTCATTTCACTGTTTAGGATGTCAAAAACAATCTCTCAGACACAACATGGCCTGAAATCAGGAAACTGCAATGGCCCACCCTTCTCTGCAAATTGGGCACTCAGCAGAACAGCCAGAGTGGGCCAAAGCCGGACAGGCAGGAGGCTTCCTGGGGCCTGAGGGCTGTTTACAAAGAAAACTCACTTAAGCCTGCTCATAGTGTTAAAACTGTAACACACCCTGGAATTGTGAGGGAGAATAGTCCTTTTTATGTAGATTATTAATCTGGCAAAAAGCAGGGAAAAAAAAAAATCTCTTTCCAGGACAGAAAAAAAAAATCCTTTTGGGTAAAAAGGACAGGAAAGAAAGAAAAGCACAAACCAGTTCTACAACAGCAAAGGGCTTGGTCTGGTTTGTTCACTGCTCTGTTGAGAACAGTGGCTGGCATATAGTTGCATTTCAACAAACATTCACTTAATGAATAAATGAATGAAAAACTCTGACCTTTCAGAAGCTTAACAATAGGATTAAGTCCACTGGGAGGAAATCAAAAGAACAGTCTGTATTCAATGGAACCTCAAAGTAAGAGATAAAAATAAATAAAAGAGTGGATACATATAAAGATTAAAAGATTAATATATATAATTATGCAAGTAAGGTCATTCTATTAGAAATATACCTGAGAATAAGCCTGAAAGCCCATGACAAAGCTCCCCACGACTTTCGCTGCTGTGGGCTCAATATTTAATCAGGTTACTCTCCAGCAGCTCATTTTGGATAGTACCTCTTCTAGCATCCTGGCCACGAGGTGGGGATCAAACCCTGATGGTGAAGGCAGGTTCTGCCAAGTCCCCTGCTGGATAGTACTGTATCCAAAGCCATTTTCAGAAACTATAGGCATAAGAGAAGCCCCAAGAAAATCATCTAGCCAATAGCCTTGCCTTTAGGAAGCAATGCATTTGAACCATGCCAAACCATGGAGTCCATTCTACTTTCAGAAGTTCTCATTTGCATGCAAATTTATCTCTAAATGTGAGGCTTTGGGTAAGATGATGACTGCACGTCAGTTTCCTCATGTGTAAAATAGACATAAAACGGGTAGCTACCTTATGTGACTGTGAAGACTCAGAAGATGAATATAAAGTACACAGGATAGTGCCTGGTATACAGTAAGTACCTGATAGTTATTAGCTGCTATTAGCACTGAAGATGAACTTATTTTGCAAAAAAAAGAATAGGGAATCTCAAAGCTTGAGGTTCCAGCATTCCCAAGCTCTTTGATGTTGCTCGATCCACTTTATCCTTTCCTTGAAGGCTCCATGGAGGCATAAACCTCCAATTGTGCACTACAGAGATGTACCTTCTCATTGGAGATGAGTACAACCCCAGGCCTCCTCAGAATAAATGGGTGTTAGAATTAGAAACTGACCAGAGAATATCCAAAGTAAATAGAGTAACTGGGCCTAACATGCTGGAGCCTGGCCTGGCTGAGGACACAAATGGTAGGCAGGAAGTGTGGTACAATGGAAAGAATGATAGACTAGTGTCAACGAGACTAGACTAGGGCTCAAGTGCGAGATTAGCCACTTTTAACTGGGCGAGCAGGTTATTTCACTTCTCCAGGCCTCAATTTTCTCTTATAAACTGGGGGTATGAACTAGATTAAATCTAAAGTTCTTTTTTAGCTCTAAGTCTCAATGATTCCATGGAAAGGGTAAAAGCCAAGAGAAGGGGGAAAAGGGCAAAGTGGATA